AACGCCAGAGGACGGCGATCACTTTGGGCATGCACAAAGTACGCGCCGTGTGATCGCCGTCTGATAAGAACGCAGTAGAAACGTAGTATGATCGCCGTAGCAGCGCGGTGAGATCTCCAACAACGTAGTGGGAGCTCCGTAAACGCCGTGAAGACGCACATGATCGCGGCCCGAACGCAGTGATAGTAGACTGCGCTTCCACGGAGATGTCGCGGAGTCCTTGGAGATGTCACTGCGTTTCTATCTCGTTTTTACGGCGCTTCTAATGAGATTTATCGTCTTGTGATTTTTTCGACTGCGATTACACGGCCACAGCACGGAGTTGTCACTGCGATCATTGCGCTCCCATGGCGTTTCTACAGCGTCCGTTTGCGATCACAATGCGCTTTCACGGCGTTGTTAGAGCGTTGTCAGCCAGCTCAAAAAACAAGAGCAATGGGATCATATTTGATCAGCAATAATTCCAACGTATTTGTTGCACTAGCAGCGTTTAAGTGAAAAAAAAAATGGAAGAGAAAATTACACCAGAACTTGTTCTGTTGTTTCACTTAAATTTTGTAGAAAACTTTTCAGTGTGTTTATTTTTTTTTACATTCATAATAAAATCAAAGAATATCTAACAACACATCTGAACCGATAAAATTGAAAAAAAGGAGTTTAATCATAAAACTATTAATAATTTAGTACTAAATTATTTCAATAGAACATTTTTAATTATTAAGAATTTTTCTTGGCATGATTAGAAGTCTTTTCATCGTGTAACTTGAATCTTTAAACAAAAATGTTTTACATTCCTTCTAAATACTAGAGGTACTGTGAGCAATGAGCTCACTAAATGATACCCCCCGCCTCCCATATGAATATATTGGCAGTATCCATGTTTTGCTCTGGAAAATCCAAAATATATGTCAGATCAAAAAGAAAAATAGGAGGTGCACAATGGCAATATGTAATAAAGATTCTGTGAAAGTTTCATTAAATTTCCTTCAGTGGTATGAGAGGAGTTGCGGATAAGAGATGGGTACCCCAAAGCGTAACAGACGGACGGACGGACAGACGGACGGACGGACAGACGTACAGACGGACGGAAATACCGATTACTATATACCCTCCCGCTTTTCAAGCGGGGGGTATAATAATATCAATGAGTATAGAACGCATTGTGAACGCAGTCAGCGCAGTGAGAACGCCGTGAACACGAGGTGAAAACTCCTAACGCGCCGTGAAAACTCCGCGGAAGCGCAGTCAATCGCCGAGAGATCTCCGTGGGAACGCAGTAGAACGCCGTGAGATCGCCGTAGAATCGCGTCCGTCGCCGTAGGGACGCCGTGACATCTTCATATTATGAAAATTTTACAGAAATTTGTGCAATTTTCCTGCGATTCCACGGCGATTTTAAAAATTTAACAACGCCGTAATGACTCCGTGTGAACGCAGCTTGGTGTGACAGGGCCTTAACAGACGGACGGACGTACAGACGGACGGACAGACGGAAGGACGGACGGAAATACCGATTACTATATACCCTCCCACTTTAAAGGGGGGGTATAAATATATTGACGAACGGACAGACTTAGAGTAAACCTATGGTCCTGTCCGGTTTCACCGGTAGTGGACTAATTATCCTCATCAGTTAATCAAACCCGTTATAAATAAATATAAATCTTTGTACAGTCCGTGTCGAGTATGTACCTACAGTCAAGTAGTTTCTTCATGCTTAAAAAATAGGAAAATGTACTTTTTGTATTTTTAAAGTGCCATAAATATTTTCCCAGATTGAATGGAACACATGCATTGGGATGGGAACAAATCTGATTAGTGGTCTTTTGCACTTCACCATTCCAACAGTTATAACAGGATCATTTTATTAACCATTCATTAGGTGTAAAAATCTTACATATCTATGGGTATAACAAAACGCCTAAAGGGCCGTAACAGAACTTAGAGAGGAAATTTTAAAAAATCATCTCATTAAGTGTTATTTATCTTCCTTGTTTATCATTTTTCGTATAATAACCTTAATTAACTCTGTCTCCGACATGAACTTTAAAGATATATACGCTTATGTCCAAAGGGTATAATTTGTATGTGCTAAACGTACTTCCGTGGGAATTGCAATTGTTGAAAACAGGGATAGCATTAGCAAAAATGCCTTGGAATGCTAAAGATAATACATGTAGTAGATTTTATATAATTAGGAACGTAGAATTTTATTTAAGGGCGTTCTGACCGATTAATCGTTTAATTCTTAAAGTATCAAGAACTTGATACATTGAATTTATCATTGATAACTCTACCAAAAGCAAGACTAAAGATATATTACAGGTAGTAATGTTTTGTTTATATTTTAAAATGATATCACTATAGATATGATACTTTATCTTTTTTAAAGAGAGAGAGAGAGAGAGAGAGAGAGATCCATGACCAAAGCGAAAATAATACTTAAATACATCGAAAAAAATCAGAGGAGACGTCCTGCGAGTTTATTATGCATTGTCACCGTAATTAAATGAAAGCCTGAACCATCGTTATATACAATGTTTCTGTATTGGATATATGCCGAATACAGTTCTGTATTAAAAAAATATCAGACAGTTTGAGGCCCGTTAGGGCCGAAAACTGTCTGATATTTTTTAATACAGAATTGTATGAGGCATATACCGTACTTAAAACATTGCTTTTGATTTACCTGAGACAGTCCGATATTAGAACAAAAGACAAAAATGTTAATACATGTAACTACTGAAGCAATTCTTTCAATAATGCAAGCTTAAATGTAAAGTATTTAGGGATTTGGCTACACTGAAGAAGGTATTTGAGAGAATTTGATAAGGAGAGTGGGGACAAAATTTTTCTTCATTAAAACATACACAGAGATTAAAGCAGTGAAATGAATTATCATGTCAGACAATCTAGTTAATGGTGAATTTGGAATGGAATGAAAAATGCCGATATGAAGAATATCCACAGAAAATTAAGCAGATGATAAAGGTACACTAGTCCATTTCATTTTTTTATGTCTACATATACCTTTGTTTTTGATGTTCCATGACAGAAAAACTAACAGTTTTGAGGGAAACGTTGAAAATTTCAAATTTCTTTCAAAATTTTGTTGCGAATCTGTCAAATTAAGTATTAATTATCATTTATTATGAAATAAAATTAAGATTGAGTAATACTTATATATATATATTGCTGCCTCGTTACACAATTTCGCATTAAAACGACGTGACCTTAACTTGTGCGAAAAGCCATGTGAGTTTAAAAGTGTACGGACCTGTATATTACATTGCATAACTATTTATTTCCAAAAACTTTTCTCAATATATTTTTTTCCTTCAACTTCCTAAAAATTTGATCCTACTCAAAGCATGCTGAATACTTGTTTACCATTGAAAAAAAAACCCAGAGCATCCCGCTTGTCTGTTATTAAGCTTTGAATGTCTGTAATCAGTCTAATATCCAAATATGAAACAGAATGGAAGATGATTAGTATGTTAAGAGTTATAACCAATATACCGGTAGTTGCCACTTAGCAATTTTGAACCTGTGTTTATATGCATATATATGTGCGTTCGTCCATTGTTGATCAAAAAGGACGTAAAGAAGAATTAAACCTTGAGGTGTAATATTGTGTTGGAAAAGGAGTCACTTTTCAACCACTATAACTTGGGTTACTATATTTTTCATTCATTATAATTTAATTTCAAACATTAAAGGTGCATGGAAGTTAATATTTTCTGTATAATATTACGACTAATATATTTTATATTTTATATTTTAATAGGATTTCACACAAAAATATATATTAAAAATCTTATTTCATCTAAAAGTTATTAAAACTTCAAATTTTATTTTTAATACTTATGAAAACTGGCAATCTTGTTTATAAATGAAAAATATTAAAACTATAATCTAGAAAATTTAGAGTAGAAATGTTCAAAAGCAAAACATACACAAAGTATATTGTCAGTCGGTGCAGTTTTGGTGAGCAGACTTTAGCAATTAAACGCACCCGGTTAATCGTAAACATCAACAATAACAGAGCTCGTGCCCTGTTTACAAAAACGGTGTACGTTTCACGGGTGTGATCAATTTACTAAACTTTGTACACAACAATAAGCGCGGAATGACGATACTTGTAAAGGCTTTTTGCTTTCTAACATTTCGACTCTGAATATAATTATTTTTGTGGATTAAAGTTTTAATATTTTTTATTAATACACAAGATTGCCACTTTTCCTAAGTATTAAGAATAAAAGTAAAATTTGTGAGAGTGCAAGGATGTGTTAATCAAACCCATCCAAAAATTTGAAGTTTCAAGAACTTTAAGATGAAATAAAATTTTCAATATATTTTTGTGTGAAATGCTTTTAAAATATATCATTCGTAATACCCGGTATTATACAGAAAATATTTACTTCTGAGTTATTTACATCTGTTCTTAAAATAATTGTGGGATTTTGAAATTTTTCAAACAATAAATCTACAATGAACTGTCAGATAAAACAATACGTTACGTTTTGGAATAAATCTATTAGCAATGAAAAAAAAAATATTTTCCCGCGCTTGCACGGGATTTCAGCTAGTAAATTACAAAAAAAGGTCTTGAAGACTGAACTCGAGAGCAATTAATCTTGCCCGCATAGTTCTGTCTTCAAAAATATACATGTATATTTCCATAGTGGAGATTTTGTGGAAGATTTTTGTGGTAGCCCTCTCCTGAAAAGATCAGATAAAAATATCGGACAGGGCTACATTATTGCAGATAGGAAACAACTACTTTAAATACACATATAAAAAAGTATTTCCGTGTATTTTAAGTTCATATGATATTGAAAATCGTAGTTTTATTTTAATTTTCAAGTCTACTAGCCTCTTCCGTCTAAAGAAAAGCAAGGAAACAATTCATTCTAATCACATTTGAATTCAAATATTGCAATATATAAGACAGGAAAATATGTCGCGCCTATATTTTTCTGTACTTCTTATTTCTGTAGAAGCAGCCATAACTACCGCACAATCGAAGTGTACAGGGTATGTATGTAGGAAAGGATTATTTAAATAAGGAAGAAAATGATGAAAAGAATTTAATAAAAAATTATTTATTAATAGAAAAGATGGTTTTCTGGTGTGCTGCGCGGGCTTCGAATTGGATAAAAAGACAGGAATCTGCAGAGGTAAATAAACTTTGTACTTACTTATTAATTATACAAAAGCCTATTGAGTTCATTACGTAGGTTTAAAAAAATCGCGTTATAACGCGAAACTTTCGCAAATTAACTCTGAATTTTGCGATATAACGCGAAACTATATGTATACCAGTATATAGTAATGTTACTCAGAAAGCTTAGATCTTGAATGAACAGAATTTTGCAAATTTATTTCAAAACCATAAGACGACGATGGTCTAATTTGTCTGATACACGACTGGGATGAGGGGGCAAGCATCGAGTCTCAATCCTTTATCTGACATAAAAGACCAGCTGTGTTTTGTTTCTCAGTTGAAACATTGTTTTTTTAAATGTAATTTTGTATTACTTATTGTCATGGTACGATACTTTTGACTGTGACCAAGCAAAATAGAAGGGGTGCCTAGGAGTTTCAGACATTTCTTGTAGATGGATATATATTAATTTTCTGATTGAACGTTCTTCACTGATTAAATTAAATTTCATTTTTCGTCGTGGCTTTCTAGATATAGGTTGAAAGTATGGCAAGCCTTTTTGCTATTTATTCGGAAAAAAAAAATTCTCTTAAAATTACATTTTAGAGAGATATCTCTTAATAAATAGAGATAACTCCCAACTAAAAGAGATATCTCTCATTTTTAAGAGATATCTCTATGAAAAAGGTATATTTATTAAACTCAGAGAGATATCTCTTATACTTAGAGAGATATCTCTTTTTATACGAGGGAAATATCTCTAGGTGAAAGAGATATCTCTTTCTCTCTGAAAGATATTTTTTGTGAAAAAATCTCTCGGGGAGAAAGAGATATCTCTTTCACCTAGAAAGATATATCTTATACTTTTTGAGATATCTTTCCAAGTTTAAGAGATATCTCTTGAAGTAAAAGAGATATCTCTCTTAGTTTATCTTAAGAGATATCTCTCAAAGTGATAGAGATATCTCTTTATTGCAAAGAGATATCTCTCTTCATTGTTTTTATTTAAATTGCATTTGAAATGACTTCTCCCTTTACCGGAAGTAAGCTTTTTATTCACGGAAGTACATTAAAGTATTGTTAAATTTCGTCATATTTACGACAGTCTACATTACAGCTTTACTAAAGATGACAAGTAATTCAGTGTTGTCTAGATTTAAATTACTAGTAGTGATATAGTTGATTATTTCATATGATGAGAAAATTCGGTCCATTGCATTTGAGATTTTATGCTTACTTTCGTTTTTAGCTCACCTGAGCCGAAGGCTCAAGTGAGCTTTTCTGATCACATTTTGTCCGGCGTCCGTCTGTCCGTCTGTCTGTCTGTCTGTCTGTAAACTTTTCACATTTTCGACTTCTTCTCAAGAACCGCTGGGCCAATTTCAACCAAACTTGCCACAAAGTATCCTTGGGTGAAGGGGATTCAAGTTTGTTCAAATGAAGGGACACACCCTCATTCAAGGACAGATAATTGGGAATTAATTAATTTGGTGGCATATTTTAAAAATCTTCTTCTCAAGAACCACTGTGCCAGGAAAGATGAAACTTATGGGGAAACATCCTCAGGTAGTGTAGATTCAAGTTTGTTCAAATCATGACCCCCAGGGGTAGGGCGGGGCCAAAATGGCCGACCAAAGTTTTACAAAGAAAAATATAGGAAAATTCTTTAAAAATCTTCTTCTCATGAATGACAAAGCAATAATTCATCATATTTATATGGAAGCATGCTCAGGTAGTGTAGATTCAAGTTTGTTCAAATCATGACCCCCGGGGGTAGGGCGGGGCCAAAATGGCCGACCAAAGTTTTACATAGAAATATATAGGAAAATTCTTTAAAAATCTTCTTCTCAAGAATGTCAAAGCCATAATTCATCATATTTATATGGAAGCATGCTCAGGTAGTGTAGATTCAAGTTTGTTCAGTCATGACCCCCGGGGGTAGGGCGGGGCCAAAATGGCCGACCAAAGTTTTACATAGAAATTATATAGGAAAATTCTTTAAAAATCTCCTTCTCAAGAATGACAAAGCCATAATTCATCATATTTATATGGAAGCATGTTCAGGTAGTGTAAATTCAAGTTTGTTCAAATCATGACCCCCCGGGGGTAGGGCGGGGCCAAAATGGCCGACCAAAGTTTTACATAGAAGTATATAGGAAAATTTATTAAACATCTTCTTTTCAAGAATGACAAAGCCATAATTTATCATATTTATATGGAAGCATGCTCAGGTAGTGTAGATTCAAGTTTGTTCAAGTCATGACCCCCGGGGGTAGAGCGGGGCCAAAATGGCCGACCAAAGTTTTACATAGAAATATATAGGAAAATTCTTTAAAAATTTTCTTCTCAAGAATGACAAATCCATAATTCATCATATTTATATGGAAGCATGCTCAAGTAGTGTAGATTCAAATTTGTTCAAATCATGATCCCCAGGGGTAGGGCGGGGCCAAAATGGCCGACTAAAGATTTTAAAGATATATATAGGAAAATTCTTTAAAAATCATTTTCTAAAAAATAGCAAATCCATGATTGGTCATGGGACTACTTTTGGATTTAAACTTTACAATAAAAAGCCATTTTCTACTTTTTCCTACCCTTAGTGCTCAGGTGAGCGATGTGGCCCATGGGCCTCTTGTCTTGAATATTAAACTTTTATCATTTTTATCAACAAACATGCCATTTTTGTTTGTTGTTTCAAACAAGGGATTTATAGTATTTTTGTCTACATAGAATATATATTATTCTAGGTATTGCTTGCTCCACGAAGTCTTTTTTCTTGCAACAGCGAAATTATTCCAGGGACTTAACTTCCTGTTTCGCTTTCGTTTTAAAGGGGAGAACTAATTATTTCATTCTAAGGATGACTTGAATTGAGATATCTCTTTCATTTAACATGACATCTCTTTAGCTTAGAAAGATACCTCTTTTTGAAAATCTAAAGAGATATCTCTCTAATTAAGAAAGATATCTCTTTTTACCTTGTTTACGAGATATCTCTCTAACTTTAAAAGATATATCTCTAAGTAAAAGAGATATCGCTCTAAGTAAAAAATCTCTTTTACAAAAAGGGATATCTCTTTTGTTTGAAGAGATACCGGTATCTCTCTAAGGTATAAAGATATCTCTATTAGTCAAAGAGATATATCTCTATAAGCTAAAGAGATATCTCTCTATGCTATAGAGAGACATCTCTCTTATTGAAAGAAAAGTTTTATTTCACGAATAAATAGTAAAAGGTTTTGCCATATAAGAGCTGAACAATTTCATGACATTAAGGTGTCATTCTTGTCCTGTTGCTGAGAAGATTAAATATTCATAATATTTGCTTCTACGCATGTTTATATATTAAGATGTAAGGGATTTAAAGGATCATTTTTTCCTGATCACAATTGTGAAAGTCTATATAGATATGGTAAACTGAGTTTGAAATCTAGCATGAATTACATTTTCTGCGAAATGGCGGCGTATGAAAATGTCTTCTTTTCTGCTTCAGCAAATACTATAGAACAATGTATTTGGTTTAATTTTTAATACAATCCAAGACGTGAAGAAATACTTAATGAAAAGTTTTCTCTACCATGATACACCATAGACGAACTTCTTGACACATATTTGATTTTACATATGAGTAAACAGATTTGCATCTGCCCCTGACTAAACCACAAGGGATTAGTTTTGCAGATATGCAAGTGGATTAATGAAGTGAATTTTATATAATATATACATACCTTTACTGTTTTTTTACCAGCTGGTTTCTTGGCTCCACATTAAGTTATAGTTCGCATCCAAAAATTTGCGCTCTTCCTATTTTCCTATGGATCACTATGAATCTCAACAGTTCTAGATATGACTTTGTTACTACCAGGACTGTATTTTTTGGTAATAAATGAACATCTTCAAATGTCATATATTATTGATTTCTTTCTAGAATGTGGTGACGGTTATTTTGGCGAAAACTGCTCTGAAGTGTGTCGGTTTCCAACATTTGGCCGACGGTGTCAGGGGTTATGTGACTGTCCTCTATCAATGTGTGACTTTGTCAAAGGATGTACTTACACATCAGGTGAGATAAAGTATTGCGACTTTATGCCTAAAAATTTCGCATGCATAAAAAACCCTCTCTTTCCTTCTCACTCAAAAAGTTGTCACCTTTTAACTACTCTCGGTTTGCCCACATGTCACAATGGTCAGAGCATCTGTTCTAGAGTCGCGAAGGAAAGAGTTATCCTCTTAAGCAGGGTCTAAAAATAGATTTTAAGGCACTTGTCCAAGGGCAAGTACATAGTCAGTATTCACTTGCCTTTCCTGAATTTTTATTTTTGCTTTTTCAACAATAAACTGGAATTGTATTTACAAATATTTCAAAAAAGAAAAAGAGGAAGACAAATACTGAGTAGATCATGTAAGCCCCCTGTGTCCAGCTTCAAATCTAAGGCTTACACATTGATATTTTTTTGATAAGTCACTTGCCCACGGCCAAGTGGTCGATAAAATTTCACTTTCCCACCCCTAAAATTCACTAGCACAGGCGTCGGGCAATGGGATTTGTCATCCCCTGTTGGGTTTGAATCCCACTGTGGGACGTGGAGAGCGTTCCTTCGAATGAGGCCGCATAAACCTAGATCTCGTGTTGTGGTAGATGATGGCACGAAAAAGATCCCTCACAGCTCAATGACCCCGAGAGCCAAGCATAGGACAAAATTTGCAGCTTCCACCGGCAAGCGGTGACATCTCCATATGAGTGAAAAATTCTCGAGATGGACGTTTAATAACAAACAAACAAACAAAATACTACTCTCAGATAGGTGACGATAACCGGTCTGTAAACAATACATCTGTTTATTACTAGCAATGTTGGTCGGTTTATATAACGAGTCACAAGCACCTTTTTTGTACATAGGGCACCCCTACGTTTTCTTCAGAAAAAAAGAAGTACTGTTTATTTGAAACAACTAGCTTCCTGTAGTATGAATGGTAGAAACATACCGATCAGAGGATAGAATTCAGTGACATTTTTTAAAATGAATATATTTCTTATTTTTATTTCTTTAATTACAATATCTTTGACGTCATATGTTATCCAAATTTTGTAGAAATATATTTACAATGAATTCAAATGATCTGTATTGAAAAAATTTAATTATCACGATGTATTATTAACTGATCGAGATTTAATAATAATGCAAAATTTGGATCGCGGAGCATGCAGGTCAAAATTTAGTAACTTACAAACAATACACTAAATAAAATACACTAAATAATGCCTGTTGTAATGCCCATTTCTCTGTAAAATTGAGTAAAAACAAAAAGAAAACTAGAAATTCAAATTAAGAATTGCTACATCGATTCATATTCCAAATTTTGTCTTAATATTTTGCTTCGTTGAAAAGAAATCAACTTGAGAAGATAGGTAGTCCTCATTAAAAACAACAAAAACGATGACGTTGTAGAATGTCGCGGAGCAGCAGATAACGGTTTATCATAACAATGTAATTTTGTGTTTTACTCGGGAAAAATCTTGAATAAGCTCTAAAAATGTTGAAGGAATAAACAAAACGTTACAAGCGAGTCGTGCATGAGTGTACACATAGTACAGGCAGTATTTGAGTGACAGAGACTCTGTATCGGAATTATGAAAGTCCTAGTATTTACAGTTCAAAAGTTTGGATTTTTTGTGGAAACTGGAAAAGTGGGTCAAACACCAAGATCAAGATCAAATTTGGTGGTACCAAACGAAAGGTCTTGTCACAAGGAATACACATGTGAAATATGAAAGACATGGCTCTCCTAAATCAAAAGTTATGGACAAGGTTAAAGTTTTTGCGGACAAACAGACAGCTAGACAGACAGACAGCTAGACGAACGGAGGGACACGACAAAAATATATACCCCCAAATCTTCGATTACGTGGACATAAAAAATTAGGACATTGGTATTTATAACGAGCACTATTAGAATATATAAGTGAGGACTAATAATCACAATCACATGTGCTGAATTCTGTTACGAATTCCAGGACATGTATTTCCCATGTGCTGAAATATGATGATTAATAATTGCAAGACAACTTTACAGGACGTTTGCGGATATTGAGCTGAATTTTTGTATTTAAGTGTCTCTTGATTGAGTTATACATGTAGATATAGTTTCCTTATGCATTACTCTTTGAATGCTTGTTTTAACTTTTTAGGAGGAATTTGGTTTGAAATATTTCTAAAACGATGTAAATTTGTTGACAAGCAAGTTAATGAAACAAGAATATCAGCAGTCTCGTTGAAAGTCGTCATTTCGTAAGTTCTATGGTCGATACAATGACCTTGTCAGCAAAAACAGTTTACCATCGAGTCAAATGGTGACTGAAGTTTTTCAAACTAACTGTTAGTTCACTATTTTGACACTGTATTGACGACGGATTTTCCGTTATTTTCCGATCATGACAAGGAGCACACGGCGGGAGTGAGCGGACGGCAGGGGATGCTCACTCCACCATGGCAACTGGTCCCACCTTTGATGTTTTGGGGTCCGTGTTTGCTGTGCTCCTATTCTGTATTGTTTTATGGACTTTTGATCTTGCATTCGTTATCTCCATATGTTTCATGTGGTTAAGTACTAAAAAATTACAGGAAACTGTTAGCTATTTACAAAATCTCATCAAAAACAATAACATCAAAACACACAACTTTTCAACGCCACTCCTGACGATAAATTAAAGTCAAGATTTTTTATCCTCATCGAGAGCGGCTTTTTTTAAAATTAGAAATTGAATATCTTTGAATAAGTAATTTACAAAATTATTTTGTTAACAATTTTCAAACACTCTGTTTGCAAAAGAGGTATTCTGAAGTTAATTTTAAAAAATGCACGAGTTTCTGATTGAAAGTATTTATGTACAGTAGTTTGTTGACCAACATTCTGTCGAAATTTCCATGCCGGGAAACTCGTAACGTCCCGTCATTGGCAGATTTATTTTTGTATTCATATGAAGTATAATTCATACAAAATCTTATATATGAGAAGAAAATACTTGCTGTGTCCTTCAAATCGACATACTGAAATAAAGATTCTAAGAAGTTTGTAACTTCTGTTCCATATTTGGGTATTTTACTTGAAAAGAGCGTAAAAAATACCTTATCAACAAAGCCTTTTTATAAACATGATGACTCAGCACTTAATCGTCAACTTCCATTTCTCATGTACTAATACTACGTTACATTTCCGTTTATTGTGCTCTGCGGGTACAAAACATATTGATTTCAAATGTAAATAATATTTTGATTTCTGTTACATCGAATTGAATGAAACTTTACACATCAACAAAACAAATATTTTTACATATTATATTGTGCTTATTTTAATTTCTAGTAAGTAATAAAACGAAGATTGACATCGTCCATGAACTTTTCGAAAAACTCTCGTATATCCTTAACACCTGCATATACATGGGATTTATATCTATCAGTTGATTTGATACTCAATAATATGTTCACCGGACAATAAATTTCCTAAACGAAGCAAGCTATTGACAAACAAGATTGTGAAACAACTGTCTCCTTTAAAGTCATCATTTCGCAACTTCTTTTGTCTATAGAATTACCTTGTTAGCAAATACAATAAAAGTCAAATCCTGCATTCTAATTTTGAACATCAATGAAACACTGATCATAACTTTTATGTTAGAAGTTTCTTGTTTTCCACGGTTATGAAACCAGTCGGAATGTGACCGGTCGGTAAAGGATGCTTTTGATAAAAAGTCAACACAAAATTTGTGGAAAAAAAGTATTTGAAAGTAAGAGAAAAGGCATAAAAGTTTTGTAAACTTCCAGGAAAAAACTGACAAGCTGACTGTCAAGCCAAGAAAACAGTCGTTGGGGAGAGGATAGGGGTCCAATATCATTTTTCTATAATAACAAATTAACCATGATATTAGTGATGTTGGTGAACTTTATCAAAGGGAAGGGGAATTTCTTTCAATGAACTTTGAAAAAAGTGAGGGGAGGGGGTAGACTTCCTGTCCCTCTTTGATGCTGTCCGCTAATTGAGAAGAATTAAAGTTAAAAAGGAACTCATAATATGAGTTCCGTTCTGGGGACAGAAAACCTTCATAATAAAGATAACTGGTATGTTAAAAATGCTTGATTCCAAGAAAACCTCGTACCTCTCATTCAAGATTATTACTAGTATCCGATTCTAATATAGAATGACGTATAAAAGAGAGGAGAAAAAATAACTGGCATTGGTTAATTATCAAATTTATAATTCATAAAATGTCTTATTTAGTGAACATAACCTAAAATATTACCTACCTTTTTTTTTGTATTATTGTTTTTTAGAAATGATGCCCACTACAACGTTAATTCACCGGCTAACATCAACACACCTGCAATCAGTGACTACAAGTGTCAAGATAGAGAGGTTAAATAGCGGTACATAATAGAAATTTGATTGATTGATTGTATGTTGTTTAACGTCCCTCTCGAGAATTTTCACTCACATGGAGACGTAACCGTATGCCAACGCCTACTGCGACACGGGACCTACGTTTTTAAGGTATTACCCGAAAAACTCGTGACTTTCACTTCTAATGCCGAGCGTTTAGCGAAAGAACAGTCACTACCTATGTTTACGTCTTAGGGTTGCGGCGGCCCCTCGAACGAGAATCGAACAAGGACCGAAGCGAACGCTCTACCACTAGGCTACCGTGACCAGTAATAGAAATTTGAAATCAATTAATATGCCTCAAAGTTTTTAAGAGTTTCAGATCAAATTGTCTGCCTCTCTAGTCCGAAAACAAATCTATGGAACATAATGATTTGTTTGTATTGTTGTTTTACATCTATTCTGGAATTTTTAAATCACGTTTGTACACTTTCAGTTGCCGATGAAAGGGAGCAAACTTCAATACGTACTCGACACTTATGGATATTGAACATTGAGGTATCTACTGCCACACTGGTACTCCGTTAATACTGTATAATCTACATGACAATTCTACATTACATATACTTGTAAAATTATACATAAACTTAACTGAAATTTTGTTCTCTGCACTGACAAAATTGTGTC